AATAGTATGCACTAAATGACTAACAGAGGAAACCACTCTGAGAAATGCTTATATTAAAAGTGTAGGGCCTCAGCAGGACCACAGTAATCAATTACCCTAAACTGAAGCCCTGGCAGCTTCTATGAATTGCTATTGATTTCAACTACTAGTCTGAATCTTTCTAGGACTAGGCTGGAATGTAGGTGTGAGATGCAGACAAAATTAGGAGCTGGAACAAACCTCTGTGGAAAACACAGGGAACAGCCAGGGTTGGGAAGATATGTTATGCTGAAGTTTATTTTTTGAAAGTGCTTAAAAATTGCAAAAACCCAAGTCCCACGCAGGGGTAAAAATGAAGAGTCACATCAGCATATATTGAAATAAGAAAGATGAGAATTTTGGTTTTCTTGTGAAGTTATTATGGAAAATTCTGTCTGGCTTTCTAAAGAAAGCCTCTGTCCTCCATTGCAGTTGAATAAAGGTGGGACAATTAATTTTTTTCTGTAGCCTGCATCTGACTATACAAATTATTTCCTTCTTGCAGTGAACCCACAAGTCATTTAAAAATTATTCCAAAATAATGATGTAAGATTCAGTCCTTTATATGCTATAGCTTGTGAGTTGCAAGTTTCTTTTCTACAAAATTCAGTTTCTTGTAGAATTCCTTGATGGTTTCAGGAAGACAAAGCAGCTATTTCTTTATGCATACTTTTTGCTTCAAAGGGAATTTAATCTGTTTTGAGGAGACTGCTATGTTTCTGTTATCATACAAGGAAACTCATTCTCAGGAACCCTATGTATTTTCCACATTATTATTATACATGTTTTGGCATGAGCATAAAGCAGGCGTGCTCATTTATATTCTAGCTGATCAAGAGGAGAAGTCTGATTAATGTAAATTTTGGATCAAGGTGAGGGTCATCTTTGTAACCTGCACTAAAAGGAACTTTATGGAGTGACTTCTCCCAGAGGGGGATATTTCTGTTAGATCAGTGGCCCAGAGGCAGTGGAACAAATCTTATTCCTCCTGTCATCCTCATTTTAATATCAGCTGCACAACAGCAGCACAAAATGCTGGACTGGAGCTAAACATACTGTATGACTGAACTGTGTACTCAGATCCCATCCCTTACACTGCGTATCATTGCAGGTTGTTAATCATGCCTTTCCTTATGCTCTTTCCTGCTTCCTCTCCCACTGATTTGCTTCCCTCCCTCCCCTCCCTGAGATCTTTC